TCTTAACCAACTGAGCCACTCAGCCGGCCCTATCCATTCATCTATTGATGGACATTGAGGTACTTTCCAGTTTGGGGCTATTACAAATAAACCTGATATGAACATGCATATACAAATTTTGTGTAGATACATGTTTTCATTTATCTTGGGTAAATATCTAGGAATGGAATGGCTATGTTGTATGGAATTTTTAAGTTTAATTTTTAAGAAATTGGCAAACCGTTTTCCAAGGTGGTTTCACCATTTTACATTCCCATATGTAGAGTACTAGAATTCCAATTTCCCCTCATTCTCACCAACACTTAGTATGGTCAGGGTTTTCTGTTACTACGCATTTTTAAATTTTAACCATTCTAAAGGGTGTGTAGTGGTATCTTGTGCTTTTAATTTCTATTTCTCTGGTGATTAACGATGTTCAGCATCTTTTCATGTACTCACTAGTCATTCATGTATCTTCTTTTGTGAAATAATTTGTCCAAATGTTTTGCTTATTTTTATTTATTTTTTTAATAAAAATTTATTGAGGTGACAATGGTTAATACAATTACATGGGTTTTAGCGTACAATTCTGTAATACGTCATCTATATATCACATTGTGTGTTCACCACCCAGAGTCAGTGCTCTTTCCACCACCATATATTTGACCCTCTTTACCCTCTTCTATCACCCACTCCCCACTTACCCTCTGGTAACCACTAAACTATTGTCTGTGTCTATGAGTTTTTGTTTCTTTATTTGTTTGTCTTGATCCTTCGTTTTGTTTTGTTTTGTTTTTTTTGTTTCTTATTGTTCATTGTAGTTTACTTGAAACGAGGACTCATGAATTGAATTGATAAGAAGTAAATTAACATACAAGGATATGAAGCAGAATGTATTTACACAAAAAAAAGACTGCTGGTGAAGTAAACTGCTAAAGTCAACAATCACAAGTAACATTTTAAAACAAAAATTACTAGAAGATAGTATATAAAATATACATTCATTGTATGCATTTAGTCTCTCTTATCCCTGACCTTGAGTTTATCATAAATATAACTTTGATTGTGAAGGTCCTAGCAGACATGGGAAAACCAGGTTATGACTGTAAGTATAGTGATAGTGGTGCAAGCTTACACTAAGTCCAAACATTAGCCCATCTCAAAGTGTCCCACAGTGAGCTATTGGGTTGTCAGAAAAGTCATGATGCACCTTTGCAATGAAAAACATAGAAAAAACATGTCATGACTTCTCCGACAACCCAATATTTCTGACAATTTCTCAGGTTACTGGGTTCTGTTGCTTATACAAGATCCTGCAGATCCATTTTCTGCAGCCTCTCCATCAGTCACCATGGCACAGCCTCTGCTCCCACTAATCTACCTGGGAAGACTTCTCCCCAGGGACAGGTATTGCTTGCTGCTGCCAGCATTCTGTCCTCAGGGAGGGACTATAGGCACAGGCTCATCCTAAATTCGTGTTTTTTAAAATATTTTTTAAAAAATTAGTTTCAGGTATACAACACAGTGCAACAGCTATACTTTCACCCCTCAAAGTGACAACCCCTCTCCCCCAATCCACCGCCCCACAACCTCCTCCCAATATCATACATATCCACTACAATTCCATCAACTCCACTCCCACACTATACTCTAAATCCCGTGACCGTACATGTATTCAGCTATACTTCAATATACATACAGTATTACAAAACATCAGCTTCAGGTGTACAGTGTAGTGATCAAGCCTCTACTCCATCCATGAAGTGGTCTCCCTAACAAGACAAGTGACCATCTGACATCCTACAAAATATTTACAACATTATTAATTATAATTCCCAAACTGTCTTTCATATCCCTGTGGCAATATTGTAGTTACCTATATATGCTGTCTAATCCCTTCCCCTTATCCCTCATCTCTGCCCCCCTCCCAACTAACAACCATTAGTTTTGCCTCAATATCTTTGAGACTATTTCTGTTTACTTTGCTTGTTCATTCAGTTTTTTAGATTCCACACATA